TGTTTCGTTTAGATTTTGAGTCAATGAATATGTATTTTTAATTTACTGTTAAACTTCATATGTATTTTCATTGTATGAAATGAAAGTGTACTTTACAGTGTTTTATATCAAATCTTAAGATTTTTTCTAACGGAGATAATGAGTTCGCAAGATTGCAAAAATACGTATGAAAACTAAATACGTCAGATAGTTTATCTCATATTTTCAAGCCCACAGATCATCGTGGTATTTTAGTAGAGTACTAATGTTTTTATTTCGACATAAGACGCAACTGCCAGTTAGGTTGGACACAATGAATTAAAATATGGGGTCATTTTAGAATAGCGTAGTTGTCACTCATGGATTGAATATTTTTCGCGACAGAAAAATTATTATATGCTGAAAAAGGCTGCTCTTTTAACGAGCCCATGCGCGAAATGCCTTCGCAGTTAAAAAAAGATGTGAAAGTAGAGAAGGTCGGGACCTTCTTTTTTCTTTTGCATCCTTAGAGGCCCATAACCTGCACATTCATTTGACATTGCGGGGCTAATGTGGAGACAATGAATGTAGTTTTTATTCAGTGACCAAGAAATTCCCTAGCAACACATATTACCATCAAACCGGTGAGAAACAAACGGGCCAAAGGTAGCTGCTTGGCATCTGCTAATGGCAGCGCAGCTCCAGCGCGCAACTCTTAAACGGAGCTGCCCATCCGCTTCAATGTCCTGCATGGCTTTGTTTAATTTGTGACCGTACCACAGGCTGAGTTTCTTGTATGAACTTTTCTCATTTTGGAAAATTATTGGGAATGACTTCATGCACTGCATTAAATTAATTATAAATTAATATAAAACAAACAAATATCACTAAACACTTTTTTAAGTTGTCAGGTTTTGGCCTTTTGGATGTAGGAGATCTTTTGTTAGTCCAAGCAATATTTTTAAATCAATATTTTTTGAAAGTTACCGTTAATTATTTGTATATAGAGCCTTTCGTAGGTAGTTTCTACCGTGTTTGTTTCTGCCGTTTTTATGAGAAACCGAATCCGAATTCTGTTTTTGAATCTCTTTGTATTCTATTGCTTCGGGTTTGAATCCTCTGAATTCAAAATTTTAATTACGCGTTTCTAACTCCAGTTGTATGGATGCAGATTTTTTACTTTCGTTTTTGTTGATAAAAAATGTCAGGTATAGAATGTTTAAAAAGTTGTGCCTCCCGCTTATTCAAGAGGTGACTGACTAGTGCAGCGGTTCTTAAACTTTTTGAGCCGCGCCCCCCTTTAAAAATTTTACATACTTCACGCCCTCTCTTTTTGCTTTGAAAAAATGCTTTGCTATATATTAAGTTGGCGCTATAAGAGTGTTGGTCTCGTAGCGTCATTGCTCAGATTGTTCATGCATGAAAACATGTTATTTAAGCCATAAAAATATTGATTTTGGTGTTTATTTGTAAATTTCCCTCGACATAATCTTGTGCCACAAAGACGACTATAATTACCTCTGAGGAAAACAAGTTAGTTTTCAATATATAATCATCAGCGACAGAATGCTGAAGATAAAATAAAGAAGTGAATCCACAACCAAATTTTTTTTATTAAATTTTTTTTAAAGCGGCATTATAAAATACTAAAAATAAAATGGAAAACACAATGAGTTTTGTTTTGGGGTGGACCGCGACAGTATAAAAACACTTGCTTAGACATTGCAAATCACATAAATTCCTTGTGCGTGAGCCACACCAGTAGTGTTCTAAAACTACCGACTTGGAATAAATTCTACTTCGTGGGATTTTATCGCAAACTTAGGAATTTCTGTGACGGTGATATCTTAAAATTAATCGAGTGGCAGCATTGCGATAGAGCGGAGTAAGAGTTACAAGAACAGCTCATATTGGTGAAATTGGCAAGAGAACAAGTAAAAAAAAAATGTAATCGGGCACTTTGCCACACATTTTTATGGTTGCGGATTACTGTGGTATTTTGAAGTAGTGTTGCTTTTATTTTATCGACGCAATCGCAGATTTAATTTATCACAATTAAATGAATAAAGCAACCAATTTAAATAAGTATATTGGTCATAGATTGAATATTTTATTCAACAGAAAAACCATTACATAATCTTTGAAAAAGTCAGCCCTTTTAAGGACTGGCGTAATCTCGAAGACTGATTCAGTGTAAGTACCCCAGGGATTTCGAGTCAATGAATATGTATTTTTCATCTACTAATAAACTTTATATGTAGTTTCGTTGTACTAAATTAAAAATACTTTCTGGGATTTTATACCAGGTCTTTCTAATGACGACAACGAATTCGCATGAGTGCAATACATATCAAAACTAAATATAATCGAGCAGTTGATCACCATTTAATACAGCGGTTCTTAACCGGGGGCCCTCGGCCCCCTAAGGGGGCCACAGAAGAGTTGGAGGGGGGCCACAAGGATGGGCTGAAATCTGAATTTACTTTTTACTTTAAAAGAAATCTCACAGTTTTTCCTAGTTTGCTGCTCAACAAGGTTATTTCGCAGGGTGTTTTCGCTCTCTTTTGTGCAAATTGATTTAACATAATGGGATTTGGAATCTATCAATGAAAATAACACTATTAATACCTCTGGAATATTAAAGTGGGGGCCATGAGTGCTAAAAGCCTCCGAAAGGGGGTCACGAGTCATAAAAGGTTGAGAACCACTGATTTAATATGTCCGTGGATTAGCGTCGTATTTTAGATCGGTGATGAGTTACTTATGACATGAGTTGTCGCAACCGCGAGTCTAGTAAAATCAGTAGCATTGTGCATTTCTTTATGTACCTCAGATCACACTACAAAACGAAATGACATGTGATTGCTTGTACAACTGTGATTGTACTACCGCCGTAACGCAAATAACGCCTCCGACTTTTAATCATCTTTACAATATGTCATACACTATTTGGAGCGCTATCCCCGTAACGCAAATAACACCGCCCGACTTTTTCTTTTCGTGTAAACATCGTAAAGCACACTTTAATTGTTGTTACCGATAATATCGTTTCAGTCATGACCATACATAAAATGGCTTATTACATTTTACAGGACAGAGATACAACTTTTAACAATATAATTTTCAACTTTGCGACGTAATGGAAATAATTATAAAATAAGAAGCCTTGCAAGGAAATTGAGGCAACTTTATTTATCGTCGTCACTACAATACGTGGCAAAGCGCTAAAATTAGTTTGAATATTTCTCTTGACAATGAAGCACCGTGATGAGGGCGAAAAGTGGCTATTATTTGAAAATCAGCCGAAAAAGTATTCGAATACTTTGATATTCTTGACTGTCATAGGTGCGTATGGCGTGTTACGAATCGTAGGGTCGGCTTATATGTGAATTTTTATAAAATCGCTGTTTCAGAGCTGTTTTCAAGGAGTCTGCTTATATGCGCTATCGACGTATGTGGAAATATATGGTAAATCATTGTTTACATTTTTTCGTTTAAATCATTGTTTACTGATAGCCTGATAAACGAATAGTGACTTATACTTATCTAAAAATGGCCCGCGATAGCAAATAGGTGGGTCACCCCTATAGTACATGAACCATCGTATGATGCCAAGAAGTCCAGCAATCTTCTAAAACAGCGGTTCCCAAACTTTATTTTAGTGCAGCGCCAAATTATTAGGGAAAAAACTCACAACGTACTTAACACAAGAAAAATTGCTTCCTTCAAATAAAACTCGTTTTTGTTATCGTTGAAGTGTAATTTATTTTTTTAAAGTTGTGCAGGCCTGTTGGGTTCAGAATACCACACATATACTCATGCTCTCTGATTGCCTAATTAGTCTCAGGGTATACTCTTGTTGTCGCACCTCTCATTATCCTGCATTGATTCACAGGTTTGAATCCTGTTGGGAATAATTTTTTTCAAAAGGACTCTTAGCTGCCATAGGGTGGTTTATGAGCTGCGATCATTACTCAAGATTATTTTAAAAATAAAACCCTTCGAAAAATCCGTATATCTACTGTAAATTGTCAAGGAGTAAAATTTTTTTCAGTGCATTAAAAATAGATGTAATATACTTTAGATTTGGTTTCAGATACTTTCACTGTGAAGTTCATGTATCTGAAAAAATACCTGGTCCATACCTGGTAGCCATACAAGAAGCTGGCCATATGATAGCCATCTTACCTCCTTTCCTCTTCTCAAGAATAAATACAATTGAGTTTTTCATGGGCTGTGTGGGTTTTATTTTTTAGGAAAAAGGATTTTAAAAATTTTTTTCATTTTATTCTGTTTTACGTTTATTTGTTTGCAATATATCTGGCAACCGAGAATCTGATGTTTTATAGATTTGAAAATGGAGCAAGAAATCGGGCCAGCTGTGTCGGTGTCAGAGACAAACATAACCGATTCCGTTGTGCAAGACTTGAGCGTGAATAACGCTGCAGAAGTTTCCGTGACAGCAGAACGTTCAGAAATCGCACATGTAGATGAAGCATCTGTGATAGCAGGACAGGCGACTGTGACAGCTAGAGATGCCGTTATTTCTGCGGAACAATGCCACATCAGTAAGAAAATCTTTCTGGAATGTTGTTTTACCTTTCAAATTTGATCCTCTCAGTCGACTTTTTGACTAACAAGCACACCCCCCCACCTCTCCTGACTCCTAAAAAGTAAAAAAAAATTTATATTATATTTATCAATATTATTGATGAGATGAGCGAGACTGCTGAAACGGCACAGGATTTTCATTTTTCATTCATATTTCAATTCAGAACGATGAATAAGAAACACTGAACTTTGGTTTTAGTTTAAATCACTTTGCAATGTAATGTTCCTCCGACAAATTCAATGTTTGTAAATAATACCTAATTTCCCACTTGGGACCCTCGATTGTGATACATCACGAACTTCCATATCATTGAGTTATTCTTGAATATTCTTGGCGTACGTGTCTATATCAATATTGCTTCTACCACTGGTAGCAAGTAGTTGAAAGTTTGAGAATATTTTCTCGCCTGGTTAAATTTCACTGATAAACCATGAGTCTGTTATTTAACCCAGACAGTGCCGATTTCAAGAATATTGTGTTTCTTCGCGTGCAATACGCATTTTCGTGACCAAATTTTCAACTTCAGAATAAGGGAGTTTGTATTATGTATAGACATAGCCAATGCTATCAAAAAAATAATAATTATTATTCTAATCTTAATTGGTTAATGATTCTAACACATATTAATCTTAAGTGTCTTAATTTAGCAAAGTCTGTTATAATCAGATAATGTTTGTCTGGGTAGAAAAAAATACCCAGTCCAACAAGATTAAGCATTATTCGAAGTAGCAAGAGTCTTAAACATCCATTAACTACTGTCATTGTCTCGTCTTGGTCGTTTCCAGTAAGTCATATGCTGAACATTAACATAATTTCATTCAATTCTTTTGCGATTCAGAAACCAACATAACTGGTTCTACAGTGCATGACTTGGACTTCGAAACTGCTGAAAATGTCTCTGTGGTCGCAGAGGTAGCAAACATAGCAGCGAGTAACGAGACAAGTATACAGGCTGAGGAGGTTTCTGTTTCCACTGAGCAAGCAAACGTTACGGCAGGGGAGGCAATTATCTCTGCAAATGTACTTCAACAAACCAACATTAATGGTAAATAGTTTTTATACCTCTCATCAAACTTACTTTTATTGTAGTCGACAAGTCGCATTCGTGTGATAGAGATCTTGAATTTGAGTTCTGGCTATGTCATGTCAATCTGGGCCGGACATCTTTCAGTCCATCTGAACTGGCGTCTTAAATTTTTCAAATGCAGGAATATAGAACTGATATTGCCCAGTACCCATGAGTACATCTAGTGAATTTTATAGTATCAGTTATCGTGGTACTTGAAATTGTGGACTACTGAAAGAATGTGGTTTAAAATGGGGTTCTTTGAACACCCCCTGTCCCACTTTCATTATTCAGTTTTTAGTATTTTATTTTTAAGAAAATATTTTATCACCCTAACCTACTGTGAACACCCCCTCACTTTCAGTATTTAGGTAACATTTTACTCACCCTCACCTACTGTGAACACCCCCTCACTTTCATTATTGAGCTGAATTTATACTCACCCTAACCTACTGTGAACACCCCCTCACTTTCATTATTGAGCTGAATTTTTACTCACCCTAACCTACTGTGAACACCCCCTCACTTTAAGTATTTAGTCAAGTTTTTATTCACTCTAACCCACTGTGAACACCCCCTCACTTTCAGTATTTAGTCAAGTTTTTACTCACCCTAACCTACTAAGAACACCCCTCACTTTCGGTATTTAGTCAAGTTTTTACTCACCCTAACCTACTGTGAACATCCCCTCACTTTAAGTATTTAGTTAATCGTTCACTCATTCTAACCTACTTTGAACACCCCCTCACTTTCAGTATTTAGTCAAGTTTTTAATCACTCTGACCTACTAAGAACACCCCTCACTTTCAATATTTAGTCAAGTTTTCATTCACCCTAACCTACTAAGAACACCCCTCACTTTCAGTATTTAGTCAAGTTTTTACTCACCCCAACCTACTGTGAACACCCCCTCACTTTAAGTATTTATTTAAATTTTCACTCACCCTAACCTACTGTGTACACCCCCTCACTTTCATTATTGAGCTGAATTTTTACTCACCCTAATCTACTGTGAACACCCCCTCACTTTCATTATTTGGGTAAGTTTTCACTCACCCTAACATACTGGTTGCACCCCCCCACTCCAAGTATTTAAGTAAATTTTTATTCACCCTTACCTAACCATGAACAACCCCCATTTTGTTATTTAGTTTCATCTGGAATCCGTTGTGTCGGGAGTATAAATAATAATATTATAACGAGAATATCGGTTGGAAACCGAAGACTTATCGATCGATAGTTAGGGGATCCCCCAAAACAGAAACTGCAGTTTCGATTCATCCGCTCTTGTAACTTGCGCACTGCGCATCGCACACACACACTCGGCGGGTTTCCAAATTTCTCTTACAAAAATCTAGATCACTATATCAATAATTGATTGATAACTCGCTAGTTATACGACATAATTCGCCCAAAATCAATAGGCTTCTGGTCCGAGCTAAGATGAATACACATGCAAAATCTGGAGCAGATTCAATCTCGCTTTCGTGAGATATCGCGTGCATCTAACAGACACACACACACACAGACAGACAGACAGACAGACAGACAGACAAATACCTATCAATATACTTACCGATCTTAAGATCGATAAGTAATGAATAAAAGAGTATTAGTAAGTCATATGCTGAACATGAACATAATTTCATTCAATACTTTTGTGATCAGAACCAACATAACTGGTTCTACAGTGCAAGACTTGGGCATCGAAACTGCTGAAAATGTCCTCTGTGGTCGCAGAGGTAGCAAACATAGCAGCGAGTAACGAGACAAGTGTGCGAGCTGAGGAGGTTTCTGTTTCCACTGAACAAGCAAACGTTACGGCAGGGGAGGAAATTATCTCTGCAAATGTACTTCAACAAACCAACATTAGTGGTAAATAGTTTTTATACCTCTTGTCAAACTTACTTTTATTGTGGTCAACAAGTCGCATTCTTGTGATAGAGATCTTGAATTTGAGTTCTGGCTATGTTATGTCAATCTGGGCCGGACATCTTTCAGTCCATCTGAACTGGCGTCTTAAATTTTTCAAATGCAGGAATAGAGAACTGATATTGCCAAGTACCCATGAGTACATCTAGTGAATTTTATAGTATCAGTTATCGTGGTATTTGAAATTGTGGACTACTGAAAGAATGTGGTTTAAAATGGGGTTCTTTGAACACCCCCCGTCCCACTTTCATTATTCAGTTTTTAGTATTTTATTTTTCAAAAAATATTTTATCACCCTAACCTACTGTGAACACCCCCTCACTTTCATTATTTAGCTGAATTTCCACTCACCCTAACCTACTGTGAACACCCCCTCACTTTCATTATTTAGCTGAATTTCCACTCACCCTAACCTACTGTGAACACCCCCTCACTTTCATTATTGAGCTGAATTTTTACTCACCCTAACCTACTGTGAACACCCCCTCACTTTAAGTATTTAGTCAAGTTTTTATTCACTCTAACCCACTGTGAACACCCCCTCACTTTCAGTATTTAGTCAAGTTTTTACTCACCCTAACCTACTAAGAACACCCCTCACTTTCGGTATTTAGTCAAGTTTTTACTCACCCTAACCTACTGTGAACATCCCTCACTTTAAGTATTTAGTTAATCGTTCACTCATTCTAACCTACTTTGAACACCCCCTCACTTTCAGTATTTAGTCAAGTTTTTAATCACCCTGACCTACTAAGAACACCCCTCACTTTCAATATTTAGTCAAGTTTTCATTCACCCTAACCTACTAAGAACACCCCTCACTTTCAGTATTTAGTCAAGTTTTTACTCACCCTAACCTACTGAGAATACCCCTTCACTTTAAGTATTTAGTTAAATTTTTACTCACCCTAACCTTCTGTGAACACCCCCTCACTTTCAGTAATTAGTTAAATTTTTACTCACCCTAACCTACTGTGAACACCCTCTCACTTTCAGTAATTAGTTAAATTTTTACTCACCCTAACCTACTGTGAACACCCTCTCACTTTCAGTAATTAGTTGAATTTTTACTCACCCTAACCTACTGTGAACACCCCCTCACTTTGAGTATTTAGTTAAATTTTTACTTACCCTAACCTACTGAGAATACTCCCTCACTTTAAGTATTTAGTTAAATTTTTACTCACCCTAACCCAGTGCTCTTCAACCGGGTATACGGTATACACTTGTGTATACCAGGCCATAAGTTGGGTATACAACTGATAAAGGGTATACGAAAGGTGTACTGCCTAAATCAGAACGCTAATATATATAACAAGAGAGCTACGCACAACTATATGGACACGTTAGACCAGAGCGAATCAGTCCTTACCGGTACCTTTGACGCTACCGGTACCCTCAAAAAAGTTCTGAATTTCCAGTAGCAAGAATTTTGCAGAATCGAAACGTACAGCCAGTCATGACACTGACTAAAATCCGTGTTCCCATGGATAAAAAATAATACAGCAAAATTTTAGACGAAATATCAAATTTCATAGAATTCACGCAAAATTTTGAAATAAATAAAAGTAATAGCCTTCTAACGAAAAAATTAATCTTTAACCACTGAAAATTTCAGAGCAATTGGTCCAGTATTCGAAGAGAAAAGCGACTTTTTAAAAACGTGTCAAAGAACAACAACAACATAATATTGAAACGATCGTTATGTCCACTTCGTGTTCAATAAATTATAAAATATTCAATTGGAGAAACCAATGCAAACGCGGCGCACATGAAATATAAAATGTTATTAACGCTAAGAACCGACGTGAGCACGTTGTTACATCACAAATTATATAGATAATACGGTCATGTGTCTGGGTTGGTGATTTCGGCTGCCATGCACTTTGTTTGATTTACGTCGAACATTATTCCCGTCGACACGAAGGCAGTCAGTCAAATTTATAGCTTGCGGTCACTAGCCTATTAGATTGCATGATGATATTGTGCTTGAAATTTAATGTTTATATATATTAAATAAACATTGTTATTTGTAAGGTATACAAAGTTCTTGAAAAACTGTAAAAGGTATACTTCGATAAAAAAAAGGTTGAAGAACACTGCCCTAACCTACTGAGAATACCCCCTCACTTTCAGTATTTAGTTAAATTTTTACTCACTCTAACCTACTGAGAACACCCCCTCACTTTAAGTATTTAGTCAAATTTTTACTCACCCTTACCTACTGAGAATAGCCCCTCACTTTCAGTATTTAGTTAAATTTTTACTCACTCTAACCTACTGAGAACACCCCCTCACTTTCAGTATTTAGTTAAATTTTCACTCAACCTAACCTACTGTGAAAACCCCCTCACTTTCAGTATTTAGTCAAGTTTTTACTCATCCTAACCTACTGTGAATACCCCCTCACTTTAAGTATTTAGTTTAATTTTTACTCACCCTAACCTACTGTGAACACCCCCTCATTTTCAGTATTTAGGTAAACTTTCACTCACCCTTATCTACTGTGAACACCCCCTCACTTTCAGTATTTAGTCAAGTTTTCACTCACCCTAACCTACTGTGAACACCCCCTCACTTTCAGTATTCAGTCAAGTTTTTACTCACCCTAATCTACTGTGAACACCCCCTCACTTTCAGTATTCAGTCAAGTTTTTACTCACCCTTACCTAACCATGAACAACCCCCATTTTGTTATTTAGTTTCATCCGGAATCCGTTGTGTCGGGAGTATAAATAATAATATTATAACGAGAATATCGGTTGGAAACCGAAGACTTATCGATCGATAGTTAGGGGATCCCCCAAAACAGAAACTGCAGTTTCGATTCATCCGCTCTTGTAACTTGCGCACTGCGCATCGCACACACACACTCGGCGGGTTTCCAAATTTCTCTTACAAAAATCTAGATCACTATATCAATAATTGATTGATAACTCGCTAGTTATACGACATAATTCGCCCAAAATCAATAGGCTTCTGGTCCGAGCTAAGATGAATGCACATGCAAAATCTGGAGCAGATTCAATCTCGCTTTCGTGAGATATCGCGTGCATCTAACAGACACACACACACACAGACAGACAGACAAATACCTATCAATATACTTACCGATCTTAAGATCGATAAGTAATGAATAAAAGAGTATTAGTAAGTCATATGCTGAACATGAACATAATTTCATTCAATACTTTTGTGATTCAGAAACCAACATAACTGGTTCTACAGTGCAAGACTTGGGCATCGAAACTGCTGAAAATGTCTCTGTGGTCGCAGAGGTAGCAAACATAGCAGCGAGTAACGAGACAAGTGTGCGAGCTGAGGAGGTTTCTGTTTCCACTGAACAAGCAAACGTTACGGCAGGGGAGGCAATTATCTCTGCAAATGTACTTCAACAAACCAACATTAATGGTAAATAATTTTTATACCTCTTGTCAAACTTACTTTTATTGTGGTCAACAAGTCGCATTCGTGTGATAGAGATCTTGAATTTGAGTTCTGGCTATGTCATGTCAATCCGGGCCGGACATCTTTCAGTCCATCTGAACTGGCGCCTTAAGTTTTTCAAATGCAGGAATAGAGAACTGATATTGCCAAGTACCCATGAGTACATCTAGTAAATTTTATAGTTTTAGTTGTCGTGGTACTTGAAATTGTGGACTACTGAAAGAATGTGGTTTAAAATGGGGTTCTTTGAACACCCCCCGTCCCACTTTCAGTATTTAGTTTTTAGTATTTTATTTTTCAAAAAATATTTTATCACCCTTACCTACTGTGAACACCCTCTCACTTTAAGTATTTAGTCAAGTTTTTACTCACCCTAACCTACTGTGAACACCCCCTCACTTTAAGTATTTAGTTAAATTTTTACTCACCCTAACCTACTGTGAACACCCCCTCACTTTAAGTATTTAGTTAAATTTTACTCACCCTAACCTACTGTGAACCCCTCACTTTAAGTATTTAGTTAAATTTTTACTCACCCTAAACCTACTGTGAACACCCCCTCACTTTCAGTATTTAGTAAATTTTTACTCACCCTAACCTACTGTGAACACCCCCTCACTTTCAGTATTTAGTCAAATTTTTACTCACCCTAACCTACTGTGAACACCCCCTCACTTTCAGTATTTAGTCAATTTTTACTCACCCTAACCTACTGTGAACACCCCCTCACTTTCAGTATTTAGTAAATTTTACTCACCCTAACCTACTGTGAAACCCCCTCACTTTCAGTATTTAGTCAAGTTTTTACTCACCCTAACCTACTGTGAACACCCCCTCACTTTCAGTATTTAGTTAAATTTTTACTCACCCTAACCTACTGAGAACACCCCCTCACTTTCAGTATTTAGTCAAGTTTTTACTCACCCTAACCTACTGTGAACACCCCCTCACTTTCAGTATTTAGTCAAGTTTTTACTCACCCTAACCTACTGAACACCCCTCACTTTCAGTATTTAGTCAAGTTTTACTCACCCTAACCTACTGAGAACACCCCCTCACTTTCAGTATTTAGTCAAGTTTTTACTCACCTAACCTACTGTGAACACCCCCTCACTTTCATTTAGTAATTTTACTCACCCTAACCTACTGTGAACACCCCCTCACTTTCATTTTAGTAAATTTTACTCACCCTAACCTACTGTGAACACCCCTCACTTTCATTTTAGTAAATTTTTACTCACCCTAACCTACTGTGAACACCCCTCACTTTCAGTATTTAGTCAAGTTTTTACTCACCTAACCTACTGTGAACACCCCCTCACTTTCAGTATTTAGTCAATTTTACTCACCCTAACCTACTGTGAACACCCCCTCACTTTCAGTATTTAGTCAAGTTTTTACTCACCCTAACCTACTGTGAACACCCCCTCACTTTCATTATTTAGTAAGTTTTTACTCACCCTAACCTACTGTGAACACCCCCTCACTTTCAGTATTTAGTAAATTTTACTCACCCTAACCTACTGTGAACACCCCCTCACTTTCATTTTAGTCAATTTTACTCACCCTAACCTACTGTGAACACCCCCTCACTTTCATTTTTTATAAATTTTTACTCACCCTAACCTACTGTGAACCCCCCCACTTTCAGTATTTAGTAAATTTTACTCACCCTAACCTACTGTGAACACCCCTCACTTTCACAATTTAGTAAATTTTTACTCACCCTAACCTACTGTGAACACCCCTCACTTTCAGTTTTAGCAATTTTACTCACCCTAACCTACTGTGAACACCCCCTCACTTTCAGTTTTAGTAAATTTTACTCACCCTAACCTACTGTGAACACCCCCTCACTTTCATTTTAGTAATTTTACTCACCCTAACCTACTGAGAACACCCCCTCACTTTCAGTATTTAGTCAAGTTTTTACTCACCCTAACCTACTGTGAACACCCCCTCACTTTCATTATTGAGCTGAATTTTTACTCACCCTAACCTACTGGTTGCACCCCCCACTCCAAGTATTTAAGTAAATTTTTATTCACCCTTACCTAACCATGAACAACCCCCATTTTGTTATTTAGTTTCATCAATTCCAAACTCCCTCTGTAATTGGAGCCAAATTTGAAATTCTGGAATCCGTTGTTTCGGGAGTATAAATAATAATATTATAATGAATAAAAGAGTATTAGTAAGTCATATGCTGAACATAATTTCATTCAATACTTTTGTGATTCAGAAACCAACATAACTGGTTCTACAGTGCAAGACTTGGACATCGAAACTGCTGAAAATGTCTCTTTGGTCGCAGAGGTAGCAAACATAGCAGCGAGTAACGAGACAAGTGTGCGAGCTGAGGAGGTTTCTGTTTCCACTGAACAAGCAAACGTTACGGCAGGGGAGGCAATTATCTCTGCAAATGTACTTCAACAAACCAACATTAGTGGTAAATAATTTTTATACCTCTTGTCAAACTTACTTTTATTGTGGTCAACAAGTCGCATTCTTGTGATAGAGATCTTGAATTTGAGTTCTGGCTATGTCATGTCAATCTGGGCCGGACATCTTTCAGTCCATCTGAACTGGCGTCTTAATTTTTCAAATGCAGGAATAGAGAACTGATATTGCCAAGTACCCATGAGTACATCTAGTGTATTTTATAGTATCAGTTATCATGGTACTTGAAATTGTGGACTACTGAAAGAATGTGGTTTAAAATGGGGTTCTTTGAACACCCCCCGTCCCACTTTCAGTATTCAGTTTTTAGTATTTTATTTTTCAAAAAATATTTTATCACCCTTACCTACTGTGAACACCCCCTCACTTTCATTATTGAGCTGAATTTTTACTCACCCTAACCTACTGTGAACACCCCCTCACTTTCATTATTTAGCTGAATTTTTACTCACCCTAACCTACTGTGAACACCCCCTCACTTTAAGTATTTATTTAAATTTTCACTCACCCTAACCTACTGTGAACACCCCCTCACTTTCATTATTTGGGTAAGTTTTCACTCATCTAACCTACTGTGAACACCCCCTCACTTTCATTTTTTAGCTGAAATTTTACTCACCCTAACCTACTGAGAACACCCCCTCACTTTCAGTATATAGTCAAGTTTTTACTCACCCTAACCTACTGTGAACACCCCTTCACTTTCAGTATTTAGTCAAGTTTTTACTCACCCTAACCTACTGAGAACACCCCCTCACTTTCAGTATTTAGTCAAGTTTTTACTCACCCTAACCTACTGTGTACACCCCCTCACTTTCATTATTTGGGTAAGTTTTTACTCACCCTAACCTACTGTGAACACCCCCTCACTTTCATTTTTTAGCTGAAATTTTACTCACCCTAACCTACTGTGAACACCCCCTCACTTTCATTTTTTAGCTGAAATTTACTCACCCTAACCTACTGTGAACACCCCTCACTTTCATTTTTTAGCTGAAATTTTACTCACCCTAACCTACTGTGAACACCCCCTCACTTTCATTATTTGGGTAAATTTTACTCACCCTAACCTACTGTGTACACCCCCTCACTTTCATTATTTGGGTAAGTTTTACTCACCCTAACCTACTGTGAACACCCCCTCACTTTCATTTTTTAGCTGAAATTTTACTCACCCTAACCTACTGTGAACACCCCCTCACTTTCATTTTTTAGCTGAAATTTTACTCACCCTAACCTACTGTGAACACCCCCTCACTTTCATTTTTTAGCTGAAATTTTACTCACCCTAACCTACTGAGAACACCCCCTCACTTTCAGTATTTAGTCAAGTTTTTACTCACCCTAACCTACTGTGAACACCCCCTCACTTTCATTATTTGGGTAAATTTTCACTCACCCTAACCTACTGGTTGCACCCCCCCACTCCAAGTATTTAAGTAAATTTTTATTCACCCTTACCTAACCATGAACAACCCCCATTTTGTTATTTAGTTTCATCAATTCCAAACTCCCTCTGTAATTGGAGCCAAATTTGAAATTCTGGAATCCGTTGTGTCGGGAGTATAAATAATAATATTATAATGAATAAAAGAGTATTAGTAAGTCATATGCTGAACATGAACATAATTTCATTCAATACTTTTGTGATTCAGAAACCAACATAACTGGTTCTACAGTGCAAGACTTGGGCATCGAAACTGCTGAAAATGTCTCTTTGGTCGCAGAGGTAGCAAACATAGCAGCGAGTAGCGAGACAAGTGTGCGAGCTGAGGAGGTTTCTGTTTCCACTGAACAAGCAAACGTTACGGCAGGGGAGGCAATTATCTCTGCAAATGTACTTCAACAAACCAACATTAATGGTTAAATATTTTTATACCTCTTGTCAAACTTACTTTTATTGTAGTCAACAAGTCGCATTCTTGTGATAGAGATCTTGAATTTGAGTTCTGGCTATGTCATGTCAATCTGGGCCGGACATCTTTCAGTCCATCTGAACTGGCGTCTTAAATTTTTCAAGAGAACTGATATTGCCAAGTACCCATGAGTACATCTAGTAAATTTTATAGTATCAGTTATCGTGGTACTTGAAATTGTGGACTACTGAAAGAATGTGGTTTAAAATGGGTTCTTTGAACACCCCCCGTCCCACTTTCAGTATTCAGTTTTTAGTATTTTATTTTTCAAAAAATATTTTATCACCCTAACCTACTGTGAACACCCTCTCACTTTAAGTATTTAGATAAATTTTTACTCACTCTAACCTACTGTGAACATCCCCTCACTTTAAGTATCTAGTTAAATTTTCACTCACCCTAACTTACTGTAAACACCCCCTCACTTTCAGTATTTAGTTAAATTTTCACTCACCCTAACCTACTGTGAACACCCCCTCACTTTCAGTATTTAGTTAACTTTTCACTCACCCTAACCTACTGTAAACACCCCCTCACTTTCAGTATTTAGTTAACATTTCACTCACCCTAACCTATTGTAAACACCCCCTCACTTTCAGTATTTAGTTAAATTTTTACTCACCCTAACCTACTGAGAATACCCCCTCACTTTAAGTATTTAGTTAAATTTTTACTCACCCTAACCTACTGAGAATACCCCCTCACTTTCAGTATTTAGTTAAATTTTCACTCACCCTAACCTACTGTAAACACCCCCTCACTTTCAGTATTTAGTTAACATTTCACTCACCCTAACCTACTGTAAACACCCCCTCACTTTCAGTATTTAGTTAAATTTTCACTCACCCTAACCTACTGTGAACATCCCCTCACTTTAAGTATCTAGTTAAATTTTCACTCACCCTAACCTACTGAGAATACCCCCTCACTTTAGATATTTAGTTAAATTTTTACTCACCCTAACCTACTGAGAATACCCCCTCACTTTAAGTATTTAGTTAAATTTTTACTCACCCTAACTTACAGTGAACACCCCCTCACTTTCAGTATTTAGTTAACTTTTCACTCACCCTAACCTACTGTAAACACCCCCTCACTTTCAGTATTTAGTTAAATTTTCACTCACCCTAACCCTCTCACTTTAAGTATTTATTTGAATTTTCACTCACCCTATCCTACTGAGAACACCCCCTCACTTTAAGTATTTAGTTAACATTTCACTCACCCTAACCTACTGTAAACACCCCCTCACTTTCAGTATTTAGTTAACTTTTCACTCACCCTAACCTACTGTAAACACCCCCTCACTTTCAGTATTTAGTTAAATTTTCACTCACCCTAACCCTCTCACTTTAAGTATTTATTTGAATTTTCACTCACCCTATCCTACTGAGAACACCCCCTCAAATATATCAGACTATGCTAAACAGAAACGAAGTTGTTTGCAAATTTTTCAGAAACGTCCACACAAATTGCCATGCTTCCTGCAGAGGTATCACGAACAATTTTTAGATATGCTAGAAGACGATCATAGTTTCCAGAAATGCAATCCGTTATATTTTATATGAAAATGATGTACAGTGTGGCTAATTAAAACCTATTTGTTTCAGAAACCAACATAACTGGTGCTCTTGTTGGAGAGTTGAAGGCAGAAAATATTCAGAATATACATGCTGAACATGTTGTGGTATACAATCTGCTTGGAAATTACGGTACGATAGATTTACTAGTTTCAAAGTACAGTAGAAACTCTACCTGCGAAAGGCGTTTACAAAAAATCCAATTTATGAAAATTCTTTTTCTAAAATAATTTCTTTGACTAAAGTCCGATTTTCTACATCCAAAGACGAACCCCGAAAACTTAAAAAACTTGTGTAGTGATATTTGTTTATTTTATTTTAATTTAATGCATTGCACAAAGCAAAGATGTTCAATCAAATTTAATATTCGAATACATCCGAATATCGCAATCTTCAAATATCGTTTTCGTGCTTATAAGCAAACCGAATATAGCACTTCCTAGAGCCGCCCTCAACTTTTTGATTCAAAACATTTTACAATTCTTTCATCATTTATCGTAGTCAAAGGCAGTCGTGTGCCACGTGGCAGTAAATAACAGCTGATATGAGAGGATTTTTGTTAGTGCCGACTTGAAGTGCTCATGACACGTCGAGGATATTTTTGATTCTAAATATTTTACAAATATCGTATATCTCAATTTAGTGGAGAATTGTGTCAGAATTAATTGTTTTCAGCTTCAGTTTCAATAGCGTCCGAACAATGTAAGTGAATTTTTCTTGCGATTTAGTGCATTTAAAATAGCTCCTAATTGTCATATAGTATCGATCGCGGATTTTATTGTTATTCCGGCGTCGTTGACAATATTGTTCAGTTTAAGTTGACGGTATTAAGCTGTATTAATTTATACTCAAAAATAAAATCATAACAGCTGACATAATATTTAAATCAACATCGATTGAAACAAATAAAACACTATTGCCGGTCTCAATTCTAAACGAATGGTTGCAGGAGCAAAATAAAAATTAAAGCCTGTGGTAGCTGTCCTGCCATACAATCAGCAACTATCACCCAGTTTCAGGTGCTAGCAAAATTCAGTGAGAAAACATAGTACGGGTAACAGTTAAACAAAATAAAATGCAATAAAAAAAATTAAACTAGAAAAGCAAAACTAAAAAAATAGAAAACAGAAAAGCAAAATAAAAAAGAGTAAATTCTAATTTTGAATTTCATGTGCGTGTGCTCATTTTTGTTCATTACGTTCTCTCTTAGATGTCTAGTAGGCCAACGTCGAAGGTGAACAAATCTTTCGTGGTTTTTATTCGTTATTTCTCTGTTATTTCTTCTTTCAATGTGTGCCTTTTTTTATTATGAAGTAATCTATGTCTAACATACATTGGTTATGGCTTTTAACCAGTATTACATTTTATACAAAAATTATGTCCAAGTCTTGCGGGAATTTTCTAATAACGAAGGGGTCTTTAGAACAAATTAATTTTGTGGGTAGAGTTCCTACTGTATTATTTTATTTATAATAGTCACATGCATTGAAGTTGAAAGCATTGATAACAAGATAAGACATGTGTCCTTACAACATCTTCAAAGTTAATACTTAACGTAATAGAGTTCATTTTTTTAGGTTAATATTGTGTAAATGTTTGTTCATATTTTTTGTAGGACAAGCTGAGGCATCAGCCGGCCCCTTAGCGCCATCAACATCGGGATGGACCCGTCAGGCACAGCAGACCCCAGTTTGGTCAATGGCAGCAGCAGATGATGCCGGGCAGGCAGTAACCGTTCGGGAGGATAAAAAGATTTCAGGTGATTTAGAGCAGTGGTTCCCAACCTTTTTACCTTGGCGGACCGGTAAAATTAAATAAAATGTACTCACGCAATCACTATGCTATGCTCGTCTGGCAAGCACTATGCTTTTAGAAAATAAAAATACACTTAAAAACATTACACTTGAGGACTATCAAACTGAAAACTATCAAATAATGTGGCGGCCAAAAATTGAAATTGGTGAAACTTAAAGTAATAACAACCCATTATGCGTAAAAAAGGCACACATCTCACATAAAAAACATGCACATACCAAATCATGTACAAACACGATCAACTCCGGTGAGAATTTTCCTACTGTTTCGTTTCCAATACAAAATGAAATTACATCACAATGATAAAGTTGTTGCTACCTCGGCACCAGGCTCAAAAGCCTGCTGTGCATCACCCAGAAAATAACTCAGCGGCCCCCGGTTTTGTTACGCGCCTTGTGACCACCTGCAAGTTCATATCTCGCTGGGTGTCTTGGTGAAGCTCTGGAATATTATACTGTTCTTGACAGTTTTCTGGTTTAAACAAAGATATATTTATAATTTTTCATTTGGAAGGTAATATTAATCAAGAAAAGCATGCAGAGGGGAAAAAGCACACATGCTGATTTCCAGGTTTCTGAATCTTAGGAAATATGACGGAGCGCTTTTGCGATGAATCGGAGCCGAAAATGCAAAAGGTGATTACTCGGCGCCAAGTCGTCGTCGGGTCACCCCGCACGTATCATACGGCAATATTATGGCGTAAGAGAAGTTGCGTAATAATCAACGTAACATCGTCTTTTCGGCTTCAGTAAAGCGATTGAGACGGTGGAAAAACAACAAATTGAAATTTCCTGTGGACTGGTAAAAAAGCTTCGTGGACCTGATTTAGAGCATAGATGAAGTTTCCTTTAACATGGCAAATATATTTACATCTATCTTTTCAATTTGGCCAGACCGCGATTCCAAAATATATTCCACAGATATTCATTCAGTCGTTCCTTCAGTCTTGTTGTTACAGCTAATTGTTTATTTTATCTGGGCCAGGGGTGTGCAACCTGCGGCCTGCTGGTCAAATGCAAATTTTAGTGTATTCAATTACTAGAAATCCTATGTAAAGTAACAGTGCGGCCTGTGGTTTCACCATTGGTATAGTATTTAGCGGGGTTGTGCAGCTTGCGGTCCGTGGGCCAAATGCGACCTGGAAGGAAAATTTGTGCAGCTCCCGGAGAACTGTCAATTTTGAATGAAGTACGGCCCGCGAAACATGTTTTTAACTTAGTTTAATCTTGTGCGAGTAATTCCAATCCTTTTGCCTTGCAAAGCTCATACCCAACAGTGCAGTGTTGATGCATTGTTATGTCACATTATCCATTCGATTTTGTCATCTCTTAAAATTTTAGAACGCCATTACACTTTTCAAATATGTGGTTTCACAGAACCTACGCCACTTTGCTTGAAAAGTTAATCACGCGTCACGCAAACCCTTGAAATTTCAATCACTCCTTAATAGTTTTTTTGTCTTTGACATCCGCCGTTGCGTAAATATTGATAATTAAAGAAAAGGAAACGCGTGGAAATTTAAATTACAGCTACCTGTTGTAAATTAAAAACATTCGGTATTCGATGAAAATATTCAAATTATTGAGGGGCCAATAGAAATATTTCATTTGCCAACCGATTGCGGTTTGCAATCAAGCCAGTGTTCTGGTGAAGCGCGCGGTCGTCGTAACAACGCTACAGTAAAGTTTAATGGAAAATTTTTTAAATTCAGTGAATTGCTCTTCATGAACGTTGTGGTGGAGTAGGCATTTCACATCTGAAGCACCAAACACGGTTATATTTTAGGTCGTTTCTGACGTTTTAAAATCTTATTCTCATTTTAAAGTGTTTCGGCTTCATTTGTATAAACAACGTAACAATATAACAAAGTTGATTATGTTTGCCATCAAATCACACTCTTACTTCTCATGAAATTGATAACATGAAAAGATACGCCAAGGAGTGAAATTTTTAAAAGGGGTGATTTAAAATTAGAAATTCCCATTACCGTCTGGAACAGTCTCGTTTTTTCTGTGACGTAAAATATTCAATCTGTGACAACAACGAGAATATAAGATGTCCTCATCTATTAAAATAATTGTGTCCAACGTATCTCGCTGTTGCGTCTTCTTACGTCAAAATAAAAACATTACTACAGTACTCTAAAATCACGACAATCAGTGGACATAAAAATATGAGATAAACTGCCAAATTGTATTTAGTTTTGATACGTATTTTTACGATCTTGTGAATTCGTTATTGCAAAATCTGATATTAAATATCGTAGGAGTACAATTTAATTTCGTACAATGAAAATACATACAAAGTTTATCAGTAAATCATAAATACATATTCATCGACTCGAAATCCACATGGAACAGTTGTTGCGATTACGCCACTCGTTAAAAAGAGCCAACTTTTTTAACAAATATTGATTTTTCTTTTGTGCAAAGTAATCAATCCATCACTGATACGGGAATATTTAAAATGTCATGCTTTATTAATTTAATTGTCTTCAATTTATTCTGTGATAGCATGGACAAAACAAAATCATCGCTACTCTAAAATTCCACGACAATCAGCGAACATGTGTGCTTAACTGCCCGATTATATCTTATTTTGATCTGTATTTTTGCCATTTTGCGAATTCGACAAATCTGAGCTGTATTTGAAACACTAACTCCACTCAATCGCAATGCTGCCGTTCAGATTATTTTCAAGATGAAATCGTTAGAAAAATCCGCAAATCTGCTGTAAAATGTCATTGAGTAAAATTTATTTAGTACAATAAAAATTAATTGAATTTTGAATATACTTTAAATGAGCGGTTTCCAAACCATGGGTCGCAAAAGGAATCTTAGTGGGTCGTGGAAAGATGTAGAAAGCTTTGATTAATTATACGGTTATTAGGATCGGTGGCGACTCGAATACGTAAATTTTCAAAAAAACAAAAGAAATTAAATTGAATTTAAATTCTAATCTGTGAAAGTTTCCTTTTTACGATCTTCTCAAAGGAACAAACCAGGTGGCTTTCCTACGCATAGCAGTTTTGTACACTGTACAGCATTTCCTATTGTGTTTCCCCGAAACTTAGACAGGATTTAGATTTATTTGCTTTTGAAGAATAACACTATGGTTTTTTTTCACAAAGGTCTTTTGTGTTCATCTATCAAAAATAAAATTACATTGTAGAAAATCACGAGATTTTTTATTAAACATTATAAAAAACCAACATCCATTGTTTGTATTTGTGTTTCCTATACAAAAATCAAGTGACAAATATCATAATTGTGATTGTGACATCACACAATCTTGAGTAGAGGTGTGATCTTCACCTTACCTCAGGTCATTGAACCTTTCCTCTCCCACACATTTTAAATTTATTTTAAGAGTAGGGTTTAATTAAAATCATTTTCAAAATTCAAATTAGTTCTTATATTCAGGCCCGGTCTTGTTTTCCGCGAAACACAGTAGTTCTGCGATGATTAGCCCTTGCTGTGTCGCCATAAGCTGTGGTCTAAAAAGTTTGGGAACCACTCACTGCTTTGGATTAATTATCTTATATAATATATATCATCACTACCCAAGAAAAAGTGACATTTTTGATTTTAGTGACGGTATGGCTTGCAACGCCGACTAAACATAATGTGTGCGGAAGCAAAGTTTTGAGATTTACAATGCCTAGAAAAGTGTTTTCAATCTGTCGCGGCCTCCTACAACATAACTTATCTTATTGACAGACTTTACAGTTTTATTTTTAGTTATCCATATTGCCGCTTTTCAATAAAAAAAACTGGCGTTGCAGATTCACCCCTTTATTTCTCTTTAGCATCTTCAATAAAAACCTAATAATCATTTGTTCGTGCTGCGAGTTGCGACTATCGCATCTTGATAATTTTGTAAGTCAAAAACAACTTATGTTTAGATATAGACAAAATTATATGGGGTGAGATCGCCTCTCTCACACCCACACGAGGCCGCCCTTGGTTACCCTTGGTCAGACTAAACGTCACAGAAATATATTTGTGTAAGTGTGCAGCAAGACTCTTGAATTAAATAGAATTTTCATTCAATGACTGTCCATTTTTGTATTTTTGGTATTAACAACGTTATTTTAGGCTACCGGTATTTCTATACTTTTTTAAATAACAGGCAATCTTAATTCAGCTCATTTCGTGAAAATCAAGTCAGAATATATCAAAACTAATGATCTTCCCAGATTTCTTTTATATGAGTCGGCCTCTCTCAGGAATGAAAATTTTGGTTTATTACGAAAAATTTGTTTCCGGACAATATAACTTTCACAGTGGATCAACTGTAAAGCGCACCTCAGAAAGAAAATCAAATAAATCTTTTTTCAAATGAATCGGCCTCTCTCAGGAATGAAAATTTCAATCTGTTACGAAAAATTCTTTTTCAGCCAATAGAATTCTCTTAGTGGTTCAATTGTGAATTGTATTAGTTCAGCACCTCAGAAAGCAAGCTAATCATCTAGTTCTAAATTATTTGTGAGGTCAAATTTTGCACCATTCGCCTTTCATTCAACTAATGTTTGATGTATTGGCGATCTATCATCATTAACTCCTGTTCGGTTCCGTACATTTCGCAAACGTTAACTTTAATCAAACCTTCAGTCAAAACTCAAAAATCATTGCTTTCACAGTGGGAACGAGAGGCGTCTCACGAACAAAGAAGAAGAAAAAGAAGAAGGGTGAGCATTGTTCATTTTGGTATTCAATTATTATTCCTTATTATTATTAGTTAAACTCTACATTATCTAAGATGTTCTGCCAACAGAAAGCAGATGCATCAACATATTTTAGTTTTGTAGGATCTGCCTGTTGAAGTCATACTACATTCCAACTAAATCTTATCATTTTTGGGCGAAATGCTGCTTTTCTAGGATAGGGTTTACATATTTATTCCGGGGAGAAGAAAGCCGATTTGATGGCTTCATCATATGGCGAACCATGGCTTCTCATCCAGTTATCAGTCCATGTCGGATATAAGGATAGTTAGTCAGTTATTTGTTCTTGAAAGCATGAATTGATAGCCGTAACCCGCCAGCGGTTATGGGAACCACCTTGTGGCGGCGGCGAGCAAATTATCTCGCACATAACTATCAGCGCATAGGATTCAAACCTGGGAACCCACGCAGGGTATTCAGAGGTACAGTGGTGAGCGTATTACTAACGCTTAGCACGATGTGCCATGAAATACATATTGGTAGAAATTTATTGGTCAAAACTTGAGATTTTTATCTTGTTCGAGAATTCTTAACGCTCTGACCGGTACGACAAATGGGCAACTCACAGCCGAACAGGTTGTTTAAATGGGTTAGTCATGCATTTAAGCATTTGAAGGTGTGCAATGGTGAAAAATTTACAAACCTGTTAGATTGATATTGTTCAAGTTCATTTTATGTACAAAACCGAGAAAAGATGTCTTTAAAAGAAAAATACCAATTTAAAGTACCAAGTTCTAGACATTTTTGAGAAGTGTAGATAGGTGAGCGACAGCTGAGACGCTAAAAACCATAAAGACATGAACACTCAGCAGCAGACACTAAAATTTTATTTTTCTTCTTTAGAAAAACTTTTCAAATCAAGGCATGATAGCCATGATTATCATGCCTTTAATATTTTTCACCTTGAATGTTGAATACTTTAAATATCAGTGATGCAGCTGCGTTGCGAATTGTCTTCGGCTGAATAGGAAAATAGCATGTAGTGGTGGTCACGCTGTGCCAACTCTAAAACAGTGTTGACTTGGATTTACAGTGTGCCTCAAATGTTGATACTAAAAATAAACGTTTCGACGCGGTCTTTTTCTTATTATGCTGGGACGAGGCGGCACCTTCAGTAGCGAATATTACAGCCTGTGTTCTCCAAATCCCCATAAACAAATACAATCAAACGTATTATAACTTGAACAACGTGTGACAGTCTCACAAGAATTGCAAAATCAGGTTTAACACAATAATAATCGCCAAACAGTTGGTGAGGTACGGAAAATCTGGTAATTATTTTTAGTGTCACATGGGTACAAACAAATGCAGTACCAATAAATTTTTGAACAGTGAGAAAGCTAATAATCGTTATACCTAAACACGAATCAATTACAAATATAAGTCTATGTTGGAAGAGCTAGAACCAACTAAGAACTGCTAAGAGGGCAATTAGCCTAACGCGGCAGTATGCGAAGAACGCAGGTGAGAACACGTGGTTCTAACCCAAAGTCAGAAAGTGACTAGTCTCTTGCAACATCTAGTGGATATAGACCCACGGGTATGTGTGCCAGTAATGCTCTTTCTAAATCAGGGGTCGGCAAACTTTTGTCGTTCGCGGGCCAAAATTGAAGGTTGCAAATTATTGGCGGGCCGCATATATTTTTAAAAAATTAAAAACTGAGGGAATGGCCAATGAATCACATTTTTTTACACTGATTTCAATTAAATTTCAAGCAGGGCGCTAAGACTGATCATTTGAATATTTTCTGCGCCATTAAACCATTTGCACTAAGCATCAACTTTTTTACGTTCTGTTGTCATTTGTCTAAATATAATCAATTTATAAGCTCATTAAACGAGTGATTGTAAGTTACATACTTGTTAGGTTATAATATAATTCAGTCTACACGTGTATCACATTAAAATATGTTACGTAAAGTTATTATCGTCAAAACAGTTGTTTTGTTAATATAATCCAGTGAAGTCGTGGGCCGGATTATATTGCGGGCCGAATTGTATGAATCGAATAAATCATAAATAAATGATGATGAATTACTCCGGGTACAATTACAAAATTGAAGTTACAAAACATGAAAGATACAAATTGTGTGGCGATTGAATTAAAAATTCGCCCACAGAGCCGTGTTTATTGGCAGCGGTGGAATTTTTCGTCTGTGTGTGTGCAGTTATCTGCATATTTCGTACTCATTTATTTTACAGCATGACGCGAGCTATTTTGTAGATTTTAGTCGATTGCGATTGAAAACAGGTTGACCATCCCTATCATATCTCATGTTTTTTGGAATAGTAAAACAGAAAGCTTGGGCCAAATATATATAATGCAGGATTCAATAGTGAAAACTGATTTTTGAAAAATTGCAGGAAAATACGTAGCAAAATTTAAGAGAGATGTCAATCGTGATGCATACCGCAAAGCAAAGGGTTCTGTGACCGACTTGTACAAAGATCAACAGCTGGTCGAACCAGAGTTCGAAGCAAATCCTCGCGTTCGAAAACTATCTCATTTCTTCAGTGGTGAAATGGCACCGAAGAAAAAAGAATATCAAAAGGAAGTTGGATTCAGTGTTTCGAAAGAGTTTGGCAGAGAAGACAACTTAGTAGACCTGAAACAAATATTGCAAAGCCTCAACTCAGATGAATATCAGCACATAGCTATCGTTGGCCAGGCAGGAAGTGGTAAAACGACCTTTGTGGAACGGATGGTTCGTGATGTTGCAGACAACAATAATCTATGTGGCGATCGTTCTTCTCTCGATCAAACAGAAAGGCGCTACGAAATCATCTACTTCGTCTTCATTCGAGACCTTCTTGATTCGGAGTCAATTAATGCGAAAGATTTACTGTTTGGAAACATCACAGATTTGAGTGAGGAAAGCCAACAATATGGATATGACTGGATCATTGAATATCAGGAAAAGGTCATCTTTTTCTTCGATGGATTGGATCAGGCGACTTGGTCTCTTGGCGGACATCATCCCAAGATAAATCACAAGAAAAAGGCCAGTACAGCAACGGTGATGTACAATGTTATCACTGGTCATCTTTTTCCAAGAGTTAAAAAGGTCATGTCCTCCCGCGAGCATTGCATAGCTCCTCTCACTGGTGACCTTCGCCCCCAGCTAATCTACGCATTAGTAGGTTTGAGCCCAGATGACGTCAAGAGGTTATTCATCGCACTCCTTCGTGATATCGGCCAACAGCAATGGGATCGGATGTGTTCAACCTCTCCTGCAATTATCCCGCTGTCTTCAGTTCCAGTATTTTTAATATACAACGCCATTGTTCAGAAGTTCAACCCGGAAAATCCACCAGATACCATGACAGGAGTTATGTTGGAGATCCTTGATATTCTTCTGCAATCTGATCATGTCAGAGATAAGCAGGTTCTGCACAAGTTGAAAGAAATGGCTTTTCGTGCAATGAGCGAAGGTCGAGTCGTTTTTACAAAAGACGAATTAAAGAAGTTTAAAATAGATCCAGATTCAATTCAAGACTTGGTTATCAAAGTACCAGGCCGCACAAGGTCAAGTCATTGCCTGCTTGAAGGAACCCAACAAATATATTTCTCGCACCAGGTAATTGAAGAGAACCTTGCCGCCATGTTCGTATCAGAAATGGGAGTGGGAGAATTTGAAGAATTTGTGAACGAGTTCATTCATCAAGATCATTGGTCGGTTGTTCGCAAATTCGTTTGCGGAATTCTTCTCAACCCAGCTTTGGCAATAGACTGGCCTTTACAAATGCTTCAAAGTAAGATGTTGTTGCATTTAATCATTAGTACAAAGCTGGGTTTGGTCTCTTATAAACTAATTTCCCAATTGAAGGCTTTTTAGGTTTCTAGCCTCCGTCTCTCCCTTGCATGTCAAATATTGGCACTCGCGTCACGTAAATGAACTTATGCAAAATGTCTTTAAAATTTGCTCAAAAATACTTTGAAATTTTCACAACGCTTGTTCTAACACACATGTTCTTCTTCACATTCGGCCTCAAACAAGCGGCGCAAACTCCAAAAGTCACTTAAATGTAAGAGCAGTGCTTCTCAACCTTTTTCATATCGGGGCCCACTTTTATTAATGTTTTTTTTTAAGGCTAAACCAAGTCAAGGAAGGATTGTCCAAATCGAATCGAATATTTGAATGTATTCGAATATATTTTCGCAAATTTTTGAATATTAGGCACTTTTCGTCGGCAGATAGGTGTTTTCTATTCGAGGGAAATTTCCAAACGATTTTTTGCATTTTCACGTATTGTAATAACGATATAACAGAATCGGCACATTGATCGTATGTTACCTTCATGACCGATGCCAGCATTAGAATACCGTACCGTATATTAATTTAATTATTTCCAACGTTTTTTTTGTTGCGCCGACATAGGCAAGAAAGCTTACTTAAAATACTAGGCAATCTGCAAACATAAATGTGTGGTAAACTGCTCGTTTAAATTTTTTTTTTTTTTTATGTTTTCATACTTAAATACATTACTATTTTCAAATACCACCATCGTATAAATGACATGGATGGCCACAGATGCATCCGATAGTTACGTGTGAGCGCCTGAATTGATGGAATCGACTGGGATTACTAGAAAGTATTGCTATTCTATTGAAAAGTTGAAATAATTCAAATCCTACAACAAAATATATGGAAAAATACGATAATTTGTCAACGAGTTCACAGCCCATTGTGACATGCTTGGCGGCCCGCCAGTCGGCCGCGGACGACGAAGTACTGTGTAAGAGGATTTCAAGAGATTTGCAGTGTACTTGAGCTTTTCAGCTAAATTTATGATAGGCGGCATTTTTTAAACTATAATTTATGATATTTTTGTTTTTGCACCGCATTGTTGAAAAAACTATTGGCTGCCCAGTTGGCAAAATAGAAAAAGTCCTGCAATGCGTTTGCAATTGAATAACGAAATGCCGAACCTGTGAGATAGTGCTACTTGACGTCAATTTGCCTCATAAAGATTGTGTACTGCGTTAGGTCTAATAGTTTCGAACGAGACCAAATCCAGATTTGTACGAAAAGAACATGCATTTTAAACATGTTTTCAGTATTGGTGGAAAAATAAATTACTGATTACTTTTATTGGAAGTATTAAATTAAATAATGGTATTTGAAATTCCCTATTTTTTACAATTTAAGAAGAAAAACTTCCGATTAATAAAATTTAACATATTTATATTTGGTTTAATGTACCGGTATATTAATACTTTGAATTCTTGACAGTGCATTCTTATTCAACATTCATTATTTCTCAATAAATCTTAGTTCAAAACTTATAGTTGTATTGTGTCAGTCAGGGGGTGGCAAGACATTCTCAATGCATGTTTTATAGTTAAAGATAAGAAAGCAAAAGAAGAAATACTGAGAGGTAGCTTGAACGAACAACTGAAGGAAACAAACGATTCAACCGCTTTGATGGAATTGTTCGGAGCTTTGTACGAGTCGAATGACGATAAATTGATTCGATCCCACGTTCGTGATATCGATTTCAAGGAAGCAACAATCAATCCCAGTGGAATGCTGGCAATATCGTCAGTTATGCGTCGAAGTGGAAATCTAAATCTTCTGCGTTTCTCCGAATGCAATCTCACCACAGAGCTATTTGATATCATGATGTCGAATCTGAAGGATTCACAGCTCAAGGTTTGTTTATTTCAATCTTGGCGATGCTTTATCAACACCGCGTTATTCTCCATTGTTGCAATTGTTAATGGCCAAAATTACCTTGTTTGGCTCACTCTTGCCTTTATACTTATGCAGATCACGCGTTTTGTTTGTTTCATTTACTTCTAATTGTAGAGAGTTGCATAGAATATCTTTGACTGAAATCGTCACCACTTGTTATAATTGTTCACGCCAGGGGTGCGCAACCTGCGGCCGCCGAAGGTAAATGGGCAACCGTGCTGGTGTGTGTGTTACTATCGAATGTTTTATGTTGGCGCTTGACTTTTACGGGAAACCATAGCAGTACTTGTGTCTGTAATGAAAATAATTGATCAGGATCATAAATAATTAACAGTTGTAAATATTTTTTTTATATTTGTTAAACGGGATTTCGTCATTCCATATGAAATTATATTTTTTTCCGGCGTTCATGTAAAGAAGTTACTATTTGAGACCCTGCTCGCGATGAAGCCACTTGTTAAAAAAGCTATCTTTTTCAGCGAAAAATGATTTTTTTTTGGGTTGCTGATATTTATTTAATCCATGAACAATACGAAAATTTAAAAAGTATTTTTATATTGATTTACTTCTGTTAGACCTAATTCGCAATTGGGTCGACCTACGACATAACAACATCGATATTGTGATATGGCTTCCAGCACCGAAATTCAATTGTTAAATTTTGGCTATTTCACAAAGTAAAGCCTCAAAGTAAAAATTCGTTGCGCTCTCAACGACCTTTAAATTATCTGATTCGATAAAAATACTAACCAATAAGCGCTTTTATTTCTTAGATTTGTTTGAATTTTATCATTAAATGAACGTTTCAGACGCAAGTCAATAACAGATACCAATTCTATAATTAATAATAGCTCATAAATAATCTCGGTCTCATTGGCGGCCGTACACCTTTTACGAAAACATAATGCGGTCGTCGTCTAACGAGAAAAGTTTGTGCATCCCGGTTCACGCCCTATTTTTATTTTCATAAAGAGTTTTATTCAGACACCTCATCAATTAATATTGCAATCGAATTAATACCGATGCTAGGACAACTCACCACTAGATGGCGCACCATAAAATATATGGAACTGATGCAAATAAGTTGGATTCGTTTTGAATCCATCACCAGGCATCGATGCATTTTTATAACAGCTTGATAAAACTATTTTAGTCTGTGATTAGCAAAACTGCGAAGTAGCTGTTTGACAATGATTGCTGGTGTTGAAGTTTTATTTTTTTATCCTGCTGTCTACGATCATCGAATTATGGAAATAATTTCAATTGAAACTGCAAATCCTTTCAAAATAGAAAATATTATTATTGAAATCGATTGTTTCATCCCGTAGCGAGGAGTCATATCGAACATTTTATTTAGCAGCACTGAACTGAAAATTGCCGTTATGTATACATAGGTCAAGAAGTTTGTCCTGGGCAACAGATTCAATGCTGAATTATTTGCTTCTGTTACAAAATTCACGGAATCTTACGTTGATGAAATGGTGTTGGAGGATTGCAGCGGGAAGGATGAAGTTGGAATCATCAGTAGAAGCGTTATTTCTAAGAAAGTGAGTTGGAGTTACAAGATACTTTGTCTAATAGCGTTTTCAGAATTGAAACAAGTTTGACTTGTTTGGCAAAACCTACCAGTTCTTGCAATGATATTTCTTTACTTTAAAATAAAACTAATTGACATATTAGTTGAACTGATAACTAATTTGCATGACGTTTTATCTTTTATTGTTGGTCTTGTGGTTGGAGTAATAACACCCAATTAAAGTAGAGATGAAAGCATAAGAAGCAGTTGAGACTTGGTCTTTGCAAACCTTTGAATATGCGATTTGTAAACCTCATCAATATATATTGAGCATAATATATATAACAGTAGTAAAAACAATAGAATATAGGCAAAGTCTGGGGATAGATCAAATCGATTTGATTGAACTCTTTGTAAGGCGTTTCCTGCATTTATGCTTCGAATAATACGAGGAATATGATAAGGAATCAAGGTTTCCGATCCAGCATTGACTACGCAATTTATCACACATGACAAGGCGTGGACAGAAATTTTTCAATCGGGTGTTCTGGAATTTGTTATTGCCAAGTTAGACTCTGAAGGCCGGTATAAACGACAGCATTATAACTCACCGCACCGACTCTGCGCACTGTGCGGTATGCGCGAAACTGTAACGTCAGACCTGTTTTCCGTACGTACCGGTACCGTACCCTATTGAACCATAATTTAATATTCAATGTTCAGTTAAAATCTGGTAAAAAAAAATGAATTGGTGAAAGCTGAACAGTTTGGAATAACCGTCAACGATAAGAACACACTTACGCATGGGGCATGGGGTTTGAACCTCAGATACTTACCTGCACCGTAAACATACTCAAAGGGCAACCACTATCTCTCAAATCTGTATAATTGCTGATGTTACGGCGAGTTCCCCATACAGTAAATTGTTTAAAAAACATTTTCATTTATTTTGTTCAAATTTATTGTCAAATCACTAATTAAATATACAAAGTGTCTGATTTGTCAGTTTCGAACCTTCTACAATTTAAACCTGATTTTACTCAGGTTATCACAGTAAATGCTGAATAAACTTGATCTATCTTTATCCAGGTGTTTATCAACGAGATAAATTCGCATGGTAACAAGATGTCAGAACAACTCAGCATTGAAACGGGAATCGTTTGTTCCAAGTATAATGTTGAATGTCTGAATCTGATCAAAGCCAACTTGAGAGAGACTAATCTTCGTACTTTCTTGAAACATGTTGGGAATGGTAAAGTAAGTGAATACATTTGAATAAATATAAAACGAGAACAAAAGATTTGATTAATTTAAAAGTAAACCAAAACAGAACGATTCGGTTTATTTTGAATTGAACATCATATAGGCTGCAAGTCACTATTTACCTTATGTAGAACCGTGCTTCTCTAACTTTATGTTCCTGTGGACCCTTCATGCTTCTCTGAAGTAACCGCAGCCCCCACAATTTTCAAACCGACAAACACAATAGGAGAACATAGCATAGAGCTATTAGGGACAACATTTAGATTAGTTGCCACTCCTCACGCACGCAAATAGCTGATTTATCTCATGTGAACAAGCGTAGAAAATCTATGACAACATGAGTAAGTGGAGACGAAGGGGATAATGATTTTAAATGCAGTGGTGTTATGCTCACAACTACTTGTTTGTGTGCGATATATTCATGAATATGATATCAAAACTAAATTTTCGTTTTTTCCCTCTTTTTTAAACTGCTACAAAAAATGCAGATGTGTGGAAAAAATTTTTTTTATACGGAAGGCTTAAATGGGGATATCTCTTTGTCGTAATTTTGCTGTTCAGCCATCTTGCTGCTAACAGAATGAATGTGAAACTTTCATAGAGCAGTGGTTCCCAACATTTTTTTCTGCGATTCCAATTTTTGTAAAACCAAATACTAGCGATACTCGCGACCCTACAACGAGAAAAATTAGAAAATCAATATCTTCTATTCTAAACATTCTATTTAATCAATGGGGACAATGTGCCTGTATATCGACTGTAAGTTTGGTTGCGCTGTTGTAGGTAACTGTTTATTTAGTTCAGTGGTTCCCATTCCTTTTACTCAGACAAGCAAAATCAATAAAAATGAGCTCGCGGTAACAAAATATTGCAATGAATAAAAAAAAAAACACTGTGTCTGCGATTTCGCACAGACTCGAACAAAGAATCGCTAAACACCAAAAACAGTTTAAGGTTCAAACAACAAACAGTCGATTTGGGGTAAGATATTACCTTCGCATTCATGTGGGCAGTGAACGTTGGCTCAAAAGTTAAAAATTATTGACCAAGTCTGATTATGCTACGGTGAAACGGGGAAGACTCAGAAGATTTGATAACACATGACACCGTACGAAGGCCCGCAATGTAGGAATCTCTGAGATTCGGAATATTAAAAGAACGCTGAGTTTTTTAGCGAAACAAAGACAGTCTTGATAAAACGTGTCTGTGAGAAAGCGTACAATACTCTGAGAAATGGAAAGATGCTTCTGAATAGGGATAAATTTCAAATCCTATTATGTATATTTCAACAGTGTTTTTTGTTTAGTCCCATGTTAAATATTGCAGATTGTTCCATAATTAATTCGAAATCAAAACAGAATATGAAAGTAAAACATGTAGAAACGTGTGCGGGGTTTCATCTTATGGAGTGCCTTCATTTTGTTTGATTTGTTGACAATCCGTTTCTGACTGCGTGGAGGCCTTTGAAATTATGTATAAAATGCAACACGCTCCTTATTTTTGATTTAGGAATGTTAATTAGATATCTAAATACAATCATATTGCAATACTAAAATGTTTCGCTTTTATACGGTGATGATATGGACAAAAACATATACGTCTATATTTTCAGACACGCGCGAGAATTAACAATGCGCTTTCGCGACGGCATTCTGGCTTGGCAGAGATCATCAACTCTATTGCAGCTTGGGTGAGATGGTGGACATGGGGTTTGAACCCAAAGTCTTAAGCGCGCAACGACAATATGATCGCCATCGCGCCTCTCATGTTGCCTGGATTCGATAAATTTCATAATAATCATATTTTAGTGGATGCAATGGTATAGCTCAGCGGTTCCCCGAATGGGCGGAAACGCCTCCTTGTGAGCGTTTGCGATAACTGGAAGAGCGCCTATGTCGATTTGGGCAATTGGGGGGCGCTAGCTGTTAAACTGAGCGATTGGGGGGCGCTGACAACATTTCGGGCAATCACAAGAAGTGTGGTATTATCTCTCATTATAACTTACTCTTATGTTTTGGTTCAACCTAGTTAGCTTGTGATTTCGTAGTTGGAAATTTTTCGCTTAACGTAGAATATTATGATTTATCAAATCCGTATTGTTTCGCATCATACGCTTCCTTCAACATTCCCCTTCTATGATGTCAAGCACGTTTCGTTGTTCTGTTTTGAATTACAGCTTCATTTTACTATCGAATTCGAATGTGCTTGAAAACGGTACAAAACAATACAATACAGTTTATTTCGTACATATTTACAATAGTTTACATATTTATTTAGTTTATTATTCTGAAAACTCAACACTCAGTTAAAAAAAAACATATTATAGAAATGCCTGAAAAACGAGAAAAACGAGCAAAACTAAAGAATAAAGTTTATAGCATGTAATGCACGTTTTCGTTCCCCGAAAATAACACACATAATAACAAATATAGTAAAAAAGACTCGATGAGCAGTATCAAAAGGCTCATCGAGCGTTTCATGTGATGGGAAAATGAGGCACGCATACAAGTTGAAAAAGATGACAAAGTACATAGTGTATCGGACGCAAACGCGTTACGAACATGTCAGACATAATTACATTTGATTGAAAAAATTGCAAAAACAAACGAACACTGGAACATGTGTAGGCTACTTGCTACATAAAAATTTGAAGGCAGTCAAACTGTTTCATATGAGAACTAATAATAATCAAGATTCCATATATTTAAGATGAACAGAGGTCATTTTTGCAATAAATAAAATATAGTGGCATCACAGAGGTCTTCATTATTTTGATCACGTGTTTGTATTTCCCTGAGAATCTCAACTTTTAAAGTCCATTCATGCAATTCATCCAATAGTTTTTATTCTTATTTTCGTCTAAAGTTGTTCCAACTTCCTCGGCTTCTGTAAGTTATAGTACTGAAATAGATTCACGAGCAGATTTATGTTGTCCGGTTTTCCAAAGTTTCGATTCAAAAGTCTTCTATTCCATCGTCCAAGCAGCGTTATATGTGGTTGTTTAGATACAACACCCTTATTTATAATTTTGCTAATGCTGGGAGCAACACGTGACAGCTGGACCATTTGATTGAAATGACGTACGCCAGATCCTACCATCTCCACGTTGCGACTTACCTGGTTCATTTTTCATTCTTGGGTCATTGAATAACAAGACTACATAAATAATACACAAGGCCTTCTCTTGGAGGTGCTGTGCCCGTTAAACATTTTGTTGTTATTTAAATGACCTAACAGCAGAAAGTTCGCTTCAACAGGAAACTAAGTGAGTGATAGACAATTTTGCAAAACGGGTGCAAATCTGTCTCTAACGCCAAGGAGGTATTTTGCAACATATTCTAGAGAGAACATTACATTTGTACAAAGTTTCTTAGATTCCTGAAACTTCTGTGTATAATCAATCACACACAAACAGAACTTCAAGCGCAAATAAAATTAAATAGGTATTTTTTTCGTGGGAATAATTAAAAAAATTTTGGTTTTCTTTTTTTGGGTAACCCTGAATTTCTACTGAACCACTACCGTTGGTACTATGCTTTCAAAGCGTTATTCAGTGTGTCGGTGTTCCATGTTTCTGGCTACAGAATCAAATTGATATATCCTTACGTGTGGGATCGGGTTAAAAGTTTTACTTACTTTTTAACCATATTTTCTATGTCTTCGTCTAACCCTGTCCACCAGAAATAACTTTGAGCCAAAGATTTCAATTTCACAATTCCAACATGACCATCATGCAATTCTTTTAACAAACGTGATCTCATAGAATTTGGTATGATTACTCTTGAAACCCCACATCAAACAACCATCATGTACCATTACTTCATTCACGTTTATGAGAATAGTAAGGCTTGATACTGGGTTTCTGTGACTGGTACAACGGCCACCCTTTCAGTACAGAGTCATATACTTTTATTAAATCAGTGTCACAACACGTTTGATTTCTAACCTCTTCACAAATCAATCACAAATGGCAAAGCTGTTTATTGTAGCATCAGTAATATCGTCTTCACTTTCGTTCTCTTGTGCTTGAAGCGGCATCCTAGATAATCCATCTGCGTTACAGTGTTTTGCCGTTGGTTTGAATTCAATTTCATACTCCAAACCTGCTAGAAACAAAGCATATCTCTGTAACCTTGCAGCTGTCGTAGCAGGGATACCTTTGTTTGGATGGAAAATAGACGTTAGAGGACGCTGATCGGTAACTAGAGTAAATTCCCTTCCACATACGTAACAATAGAATCTTTTGACCACCCAAATAATTGCAAGGGCCTCTTTCTCTATTTGTGAATATTTCCTTTGTATTTTGGTAAGCGATTTTGAAGCAAATGCTATGGGACGTTCGGAACCATCCTTCATTTCATGAGACATTACCGCCCCGAGACCCTACAGTGAGGCATTACAAGCCAGTTTTAAAGTTAATGAAGGATCATAATGAGTTGATACAGTGTTCGAGGTCATAAGCTTTTGGTTTCGGGGGAACAGACTGGTTCTGTTGCCTCACGTATATTGAGAATCGTTCTCCAGTCCAATTGAATTTGATGTAATCAATCACGCCCAAACAAACTAGGACCGTTTGTGCTTGCTACGTACAATCTGAATTTACAACTTTGGCCATTAATTTTTATATCGACACCCAGTGGATATATCTTTCCCCAGGAAAAAGTCTTCAAGCAAATTTTTGTATCATTCAAACGGATATGAGACAAACGTGAATCGTAAACATTTTTAGAAATGATAGACACAGCCGATCCCGTATCTAGTTTCATTCTTAGTGTTTTCCCACTGATAATCGGAAAAAGCCAAATTGCACCATTTTCGTTTCTAAGTTCGCTATTCATACGTAAATTACCAACCTCTACCAACCGTTGCTTTCTAGAAAAATACTGCTCCTTCACCATTGGCATAACACTGCCACTTGATATTTCGGCCACATCCCTGTTGGCCAATTCCATTGACTTTGCAATTTGAAATGCCATTTGAAAATCTAATTTTTCTTCATCTTTTTCCATTAACCTTTTTTCTAGTATCCTCATCGAGTATATCAAAAATTAAGCAATCGCAAATGAAATCATCCCTCAATGGACCGAATTTACACCCCTCAGACAATTTTCTTAGCTCTGCTGCATATTCACGAACCCCTTCAGAAAACTTTTGATCTCTTCTGTGAAATGTGAACCTTTCCACAAAAACGGAACGTTTCGGTTTTAAATGATCTTACAAGGCTTTCTTTATAACATCATATGTTTTGGAACTAGATAAGTCGGGTGCCAAAAGATTGTGTAGTATTTGGTAGGTTTTAGTAGGCAATTTTGCAATTAACTTTGGTACCTTTTTGTCATTGGCAATATCATTATCAATCGCTGTAAATATATTATTTTATATACACCGTGTTTCGTTAACCACCCAAAGGTGAAAAAAGGTTAATGCACTCACATGGTGTGTTACCAAACATTTTCTCTAATAAACTCAGTGGAAAAGCATGAACGCGTCATGTCACGTGATATCGAGGTGAATGTGACGACCTAGGTAAGACTCGCAATATAGGGTTACAGATAACGTTATATTTCTGTATTTATATAGTATCTAGTCTTGGGCACTTAAACGTTAGCAAACAAAGCTTTTCTTGACTGCTAACGTGATATGACCGAAAATTTCTAAGGATATGTAATCTACAACACAGATCCAGAGTCCCAAACGCAATCTGAATCCACATGAACACTGTAATAGTAAAAGTGGATTGACTGATCGATGTTTTAATTATGGCTAGATTACGGTAGTCTGCCGGTACTATAATTTCGCGTTTGTTTATCAGAATCAACCTAATAATTCGAAATCTTACCTGTACCAGCAAGCTTGAACCTCTCCGCAGGATGTTAGTATTCCCCATATTGTAGATTGAGACAAGTTCAACACAAACTGTGCCCACCCACTTATTCTGTCTATTGAAAATTGGAGTTGAATACCCCACACAGTCTGGTATGCACAGAGTTTCATCGACGCCTCGGCAGAATGATAAGTCAACTCAGCGCGCATAAAAAATTTCGAAGCGATTTCAGCCAATAGCGTTCAGCCTCACATCGTCACATTCACCTCGATATCACTGACATAACGCGTTCATGCTTTTCCACCGAGTTTATTAGAGAAAATATTTAGTAACACACCATGTGAGTACATTAACCTTTTTTCACTTTTAGGTGGTTAACGAAACACGGTGTATATAAAACAATACAACGAAATAAGGTAAAAAAATTATCACCCCACCAGAATGGATGAGGTGGAAATGACAAAAATCCTATTTTTTCTGTTTACAGTGTATAATCTCCAGGTTTCAGTCTGTAAAACTTCTCACACACTGAATCACGTGACATGTAAGGGTTTGAACCCAGGTCTCGAATAAAGTCAATACTACCGACCTAACCACTACGACTACACCATTGCGCTCACTGAACTTGATGAGTATTCAGTGTAATTCCCTACTGATATGGCCAAAGTATGGCACATGGATATATCTCATGCCTATTATAATCGTCAATGTTATTATTCATTCAGTTCAAGGAACTCTATGTCAGCGACAATAGAAATCTTGGTGTTGGAGGGGTGGCAGTCACAGGTATTATTGTGTCACAATGTGAAGTAGAGAAGGTTGTAATGTGGGGCTGCAATCTGACAGCGGAAGAAATGAAAGCATTCAAGGAAAATGTTCGGGATGCAAAGGTAAAAATACTTTAAACTGGAACATTGGTTATTTAAAGAGTAGTGTAACGGATCAAGCTAGGTCCATATATAACTGATAGTAATGGATCGAGCATGACTATGCTAATACGTAATTTATATTTAGTGACAAAAATCAAACTGCATTGAGTTGATTTTAAGGTATAAAAAATTATTCGGGGTCATATTGTTTCAATACAATCACTCCGAACAAGGCTCAAAACAAGCAGCCAATATGAAACAAAAACTTTGTTACTTTCAACCGTTTTTTAACCGAACCAATTAGTTTTTTCAAATTGTATAGCAATTAGGATGCAAGCCATTATTTACTTTGTGTGTGAAGTTTCTCATTATTGATAAAATACAAAATTTCGGGAAATTCAGACTAAACTGCTGGTTACATTAGATATCGTTCTGCTCTATATGCCACATTATTTGATGCCAACAATCTAATGCTCGTGTAGATTGTACAATGTTGAGCAATATTTCAACTTTTTATCCATTTCAAATAACAACTTGATAAGCAATGCCGAACCAGAAATATTTCGGTCCTTCCTCAATATAGTAATACCTTGCCTAACAGTAGCTGCTTGTACAAAGCCTTGTTAGGAGTGGTGTTAATGAGTAATGCAGTGTTGTAATTCTTGGTTTAAATTTACGAAAACAAAACTAAAGTTAACTGGCATTTCATGATTAAATGAACTCAAGACCTAGAATTTATGGAACTATCTGTTGTGTTCCTAAGCCCCCTATCTGGGGCGCCATTCGCCAAACTTCTTTATCGTTTAACGTGTTAGTTAAGCACCCAATTTCTCGTAAAAGACAAAAATGGTATTCTCGAAGTATCGTTAATATTCAAGAGGAATTATTCGAGAGAATTTTTTGCGCGCCAAAACGTCTCGTGAAGTGCCTTCTTCTCTCATTTTACCGAGAATCGGTATTCACGAAAGTTCTTCAACGCGCCGGAGTGCTTGCAAACTAACGAGGGGAAATTTTACACGTTAACAGTAGTTCGGCATGTTCTTAGCATGAATTCAAGGTAAAATGTATGTGTGTTTATTTGTAACAGTATCTACATAAAAATTAAACTGTAGAACTAAGACGGGATACATGTTCAATACCTTACTGACCTAAGACTTCGTGAACTACTACTACTACGTGAAAAATTGGTATCAAAAATCCTATGCCTAACTTAGGTAAGAGTGACTGTAACCTAGTAGCTGTGGACCCACCTATATATGCCAAATAACAGCGTACTAACATCAAATATGGGATTGCATTCATTCATCTATTTTATTGTCGGTCACAGAAGTAGTTCACAATATGTACTCCAGCATTTATTCCATATATCCATAGATTACTGCTATATGACCCAAATTTTAAAACACAGTCTGTAAACAGGGAAACCCTACAGATCGTCGCAAAATGAGCTTGTCCGCTCAGGGCGGCTAGCGGCAGTGACTGATACGGTTGAGGATCATACAGTGGTGTTTGTTCAACGACGACCGTGCGTTGGATTTCGAGAGAACTTGCGTGACCGTGCGTAAAGTTTTTACGAGATGTTTCGTGAATCGCACTTAACGAGAATTCGTAACTGCGTTCTTGAGAGATAAGGTTACGTGCTCGTAAGCGAGGCTTTTTTACGAAGTTTGGCGAATGGGGCTCCTGGTCTCCTTCTCCGCCGAAGTGGGTAAGGTCGTTCAATATCTGTAGTCGACTTTGGTGTCTGATTCTGTGATTCGTCAGTTACCGGTGTCCGGCCGATAGAAAAATGCGGTGGCGGTGATTCGATGTTGGGATACGGCACTGGTCTTTTGGATATTGCACTGTCTGTTGCATCCGGTTCCATACTCGCAGGCTTGTCATGTTCAAAATGATCATCTTCAGATTCAACCAGTTGCTCTTCATATCTATGTTCTAGCTTGATCTTCAAGTCAGATTTAATAATCTGGTCGATATGCCTCTTCCAACTAGCAGAAGGAGCGACACTGACAAGATAAGTCAGTAGCCCTATTATTTTTGGTATTCCACCACGTTTCCATTTTGAGTTTCCACGATAATCTCTAACGAGGACTGATTCACCAACGCTAAATGATCACAGAGTTTTGTTACTCTTCGTTCGCACTGTATATTGTTTTCTTCAACACGATTAAATAGTACGAAGACGTCGTTTACAGAATAATACAGACGGTGCCTAACCCGTCGTGCAATGGGGAGTATTTCGATACCCCAGAAAAAAATCATCCAAATGTAAGTGGAATTTGTTGGCATCGTCAACTGCGCGCATAGCGCGCTTGAACGTTTCTACAAATCATTCGGAAGCACCGTTAGATGCCGGATGATAAGGTGCAAATTTCTTAGGCTTGATACCATTTGCTTTCAAAAAGGGTGCAAATTCATGTGATGAAAATTGAGGCCCATTGTCGATCACAAGATATTCCGGTAAACCATATCTAGCAAAAAGACTTCTTATGACACGGATATTACTATTGGCATTTGGCAGTCATTGCAATTTTCAACCATATTATCTATGTCTTTGTCTAACCCTGGCCACCAGAAATAACTTCGAGCCAAAGATTTCATTCTACAATTCCAACATGACTATCATGCAATTCTTTTAACAAACGTGATCTCAGAGAATTTGGTATGATTACTCTTGAACACCACATCAAACAACCATCATGTACCGTTATTTCATTCACGTTTATGAAAATAGTAGGACTTGATAATGGGTTTCTGTGACTGGGACAACGACCACCCTTTCATTACAGAGTCATATACTTCCATTAAATCAGCGTCACAACACGTTTGATTTCTAACCTGTTTACACGTTATCGGCAGAGAATCACAAATGGCAAAGCTGTTTATCGTAGCATCAGTAATATCGTCTTCACTTTCGTGCTCTTGTGCTTGAAGCGGCATCCTAGATAATCCATCTGCGTTACAGTGTTTTGCCGTTGGTTTGAATTCAATTTCATAGTCCAAACCTGCTAGAAACAAAGCATATCGCTGTAACCTTGCAGCTGTTGTAGCAGGGATACCTTTATTTGGATGGAAAATAGACGTTAGAGGACGCTGATCGGTAACTAGAGTAAATTTCCTCCCACATACGTAACAATAGAACTTTTTGATCGCCCAAATAATTGCAAGGGCCTCTTTCTCAATTTGAGAATATTCCCTTTGTATTTCGGTAAGCGATTTTGAAGCAAATGCTATGGGACGTTCGGAACCATCTTTCATTACATGAGAAACTACTGCCCCGAGACCAATCTGTGGAACATCACAAGCCAGTTTTAAAAGTTAATGAAGGATCATAATGAGTTAATACAGTGCTCGAGGTCATAAGCTTTTCGACTTCAAGAAACGCTTTTTCGCTGTATTTAGTCCACTCCCATCTGCAATTAGCCCTGAGCAAACAATTTGAAAGATACGGTACAGATGACAAATTCGGAATAAATCTTTGATAGTAATTAACCATGCCAATAAACGATCTCACTTGACTAACGTTTTCCGGCCTCGGAGAGTCACAAATGGCTTTAATTTTAGCATCCGTTTTGTGAAGCCCATTTCAATCAACTTTGTATCCACAGAATTCAACGCTGTTTTTGAAAAATTCAGTTTTACTTTTATTAAATTTGAGATTATATTGTTGCAAACGCATAAGAAGTTTTTCAATATTGTCCAAATGCTCAATGTTATTATTACCCGTTGTTAACATGTCATCAAAAATACATTTGCTTCCTGAAACCCCGTTTAATATTTGTTCAATTGTTCTTTGCCAAATAGCCGAGGCGGATGCCATGCCAAATGGAATCCTATTAAACCTATACAATCCCTTATGAGTATTAATTGTCAACAATTCCTTCGACTCCTCTTCAACCTCCATTTGTAAATATGCTTGTTTCAAATCTATTTTGCTAAACTTTTGTCCTCCTGCAAGAGATGTAAAAAGGTCATCTATTGTTGGTAATGGATATTGATCTACACAAAGAACATGATTTACAGTCACTTTAAAGTCAGCGCAAAGTCGTATTTCACTGTCTTTCTTAATAACTGGAACTTATGGGAGTAGCCCACTCACTAAAAGTGACTTTGGTAAATATATCATCACGTTCATCACAATATCATCACAAGTCTTTCCAACTCCGCTTCAATTTCAGGCCGAAGCACAAAAGGTACAGGCCTAGGAGGGAAGAATTTAGGTATGGCGCCCTTTTTCAAAACCAGTTTTGCTTTTGTCTCTTTTATGCAGCCCAAGTCATCAGGAAATACATTACTGCACTTTTTTAATAAATGTTTCAATCGAGTTTTGGTTTCGGGGAAACAGACTGGTTCTGTTGCCTCATGTATATTGAGAATCGTTCTCCAGTCCAATTGAATTTGATATAATCAATCACGCCCAAACAAACTAGGACCGTTTGTGCTTGCTACGTACAATCTGGATTTATAACTTTGGGCATTAATTTCTATATCGACTTCAAGGACACCCAATGGATATATCTTTTTCACGGAATAAGTCTTTAAGCAGATTTTTGTATCATTTAAACGGATATGAGACAAATGTGAATTGTAAACATTTTTAGAAATGATAGACACAGCCGATCCCGTATCTAGTTCCATTCTTAGTATTTTCCCACTGATAATCGAAAAAAGCCAAACTGCACCATTTTCTTTTCTAAGTTTGCTATTTATACGTAAATTACCAACCTCTATAGACGACGAATTCCCCAAGTTAGGACTATCACTGCTGTCGTTCTCCATAACATTTGCACTTCGTGGTTTATCATTATCGCGTCGGTCATTCCACGTCTTTTCTCTGGACACCACTGGCTTATATCGTGTGCAAACCTGTTGAATATGACCTCGGCGCCGCAGTTAAGACACTGGAAGTTTTTATAACGACAATTTTTGAAATTGTATGCAGTTTTACCGCAGTGCTTAAATTTTGAGGTATTAAACCGTTGCTTTCTAGAAAAATACTGCTCCTTCACCATTGGCATAAC